AAGAGTTAACTTTATTCCCAGCGTGTGGCTAGGTAGCATTTTAAGGGCCCACTGAGAACGCACTAGATGGTTTTCTTCAGAATGCATTGGGGGTGAAAGAGTGGGGAAGCAGACCCTCTGTAGGAATTCAGACACAACCTGCATGGGCCTTTCCTAGAAACCATAACAAGCTAGTCACAGGGCAACTTGAGACCAGGTGAGAAGGAAGGCTTTGCCTGAAGGCTCACAGGAATTCAGTCTCGGATTCTGTACCCCACACGGTCGCTTACCCATTGCCCCACACGGCCACCTACTTATCACCCCACACAACCACCTACTTACCGATCACCTATCTATCACCCCATGTCGTGTTCTAGCCCATCACCCCACAAGGTCTCTGACCTCATCACCCTGAAAACAGCTGGCACTCAATCAGTGCTGACTGGAAGGACAGGGGCTTGGTTCTAGCCTGTTTTACATGATCCACATGACTGACAGGTGAACATTTTAACCATACCATTGAGGACAGGGGAAAGGCCAAGACACAGACATTTTCAACAACACAGAACTTTCTCAGATAATTGCACCAATTCCCTCTTTTTTTAAGGAGAATCTCTAGCGGTTTAGAAAGAAAGGCAAATCAGTCAATCAATTACACACTACTTTCCCGACATTTTACACAGGACAATACATCTCAAAGTCCCTTATTCAGGGAAAATGAGAGCCAAAAGATTAAGTGTCTCCGACCAGTGATAAGGGCATCACAATAACGCAGGAAGTCGGCAGGGTCCTACTTATTCTACTGGATGCAATCCCATCCAGGTGAGCATTTCTGCTCCGGTCTTTTTTTTTTTTTAAGAGCTAATACCCTAGAATATAGAAAATACAAGTCAATCAGAAGTCCTCTGAAAGTTCTACTCACAATGAATAAGGAAATATAAAAGTACCTTAGAGTAAACTAGCACAACTTCTGTTAAATCTCAGAAAGAACTGATTCTATAACCATAGAAGCTTTTTTTCATCCATCTGTCCATTTATCCATCTACCCACCTACCCATCCATCCATCCACCCATCCCTCCACCCACCCACCCATCCACCCATCCATCCATCCATCCCATTCATCTATCGAGTTCTTATTTGGTATCTAGTATATGCTAAGCACTGTGCTTGGCTTTGGGGATATATAAGTGAAACAAGATAGACATGGCCCATCCCTCCTTGAACCTCACAATCAAGGGGAAGACAGACAACACAACAAGTAATCCCAGCACCACTTGAGGGTGCTGTCACAGGGCAGGGTGCCATGGGAGCAGAATCAGGGGCCTTGCAACGTGTCTAAACCTCTTGTGTGACTCCAGCTGTTAGCACAGACCACTGAGGAAAGGCCTCCTCTGACCCAGGGCCCAGTATGATTAAGAACCTTACACCTCTAACAAGCATCTAACCCAGAGGAAGCATAGGCATAGCTAAATCACATTTCAGGGCTAAGAGGAGTGCAGAACTGATCTAGTTCAATAATTCCATTTTACAGATGCACACACTGAGTTCAGGAACACGAAGACTGGCTTGTCACATTGCACAGGCTTGCCTGTGGCACAGGCAGGGGTAGATCCCAGCTCTCCACAGGCCTCTCCACCCTGCCTAGCCCACCATGAGGCCACCATACAACTCACCAACATCTGTGTTAGGTAAATTGAATGATACAGGAAGCATCAAAAGAAGACAGGAGGAATACACAGAGTCATTGAACCAAAAAGATGTGGTCGACGTTCAGTCATTTCAGGAGGTAGCATATGATCAAAAACCAATAGTTTTGAAGGAAGAAGTCCAAACTGCACTAAAGGCATTGGTGAAAAACAAGGCTCCAGGAATTGAAGGAATATCAACTGAGATGTTGCAACAAACAAATGTAATCCTGGAAGCACTGGTCTAAGCCAAGAAGTCTGGAAGACAGCTACCTGGACAACCAACTGGAAGAGGTCTATATTTGTGCCCATTCCAAAGACAGGTGAATCCAACAGAATGAAGAAATTATCAAACAATATCATTAATATTACATGCAAGTAAAATTTTGCTGAAGATCATTCAAAAGCAGTTTGCAGCAGTACATCGATGGAATTGCCAGAAATTCAAGCCAGATTCAGAAGAGGACGTGGAATGAAGGATATCATTGCTGATGTCAGATGGATCTTGGCTGAAAGCAGAGAATAACAGAAAGATGTTTACCTGTGTTTTGTTGACTATGCAAAGGCCTTCGACTGTGTGGATCATAACAAGTTATGTACAACATTGCGAAGAATGGGAATTCAGAACACTTAATTATGCTCATGAAGAACCTGTACATAGATCAAGAGGCAGTTATTCAAACAG